TTCGGGGATCATAACGTCAGCCTGCTCCTTACGTGTATATGAAATTTGAAAGATTCAAGAACTTGCAACTAGCCACTCTTAATCTATCTTGTCATATCGCATCTGAGCAAAGAAAACGGAAGTAGGCGCTCGTTCAAAATATGTTGTCAACGCCGACTGCTGCTTATAGTTCCACCGTGTCCTGAGAAGTGAAAACTCTAGGGTAAACTCATCTTTTGATTGTAATTTTTCGGATGTACTTCTTTATTGGTAATTTAACACAGGAAGTTACAACAGTTTGAACGCTCACAACGACTATGTGAAGTTAGTAATTGATACTCCGCCTGTAAAACCATGTGAAGTTTCGCAGGAAACGCACAAATTCCTGATTCAATAATTATTAAAATCTTATTTGTGAGGACTGGTTATGGAAAAAACCACGACTGCAATTTGCTTTGAGGGAACAGAAACCAAAATTTGCTTTGCGGTTCTCCTATAATACAGAGGCGACCAATGTATAAATCACGCTGTGGCGTAATAATCCATCATTCATTAATTTATGAATATTGTTGTGATGTTCGTTACGTCAAGTTGGAGCCGACCTCAACCCGTAAACTCTCTTCGGGTCAACAACAGCGCCCTATGGAACGCCACATTCAGGCTATCCTCGAAATTGCACGGAAATTCGCTCGCCAGTATCCTACGACGTTCAAAATAAGACGAAAAACAATCTGAATGCTGGAAATACTGAGAATTCGCGCACTGAAAAGAGCATGATGAATTCGGATCAATAAACTGTTAAAGTAAAGCACGAAAATATCTAAGCTGTACTTTAGAACATGAAGACAACAGCGAGAATTCCGTGTCAGCGTTTACCTCATGCCAACTCTCTCTTCCGTACAAATATTCTCTCGGAACAATTGAAGATTGAGAAATTGACAGCACTTGCTTTTACAGTCATTGGGCCACTAAATCTAGGAGATCATGTTCATTGATCCTTGCTGATTCATAGGAAGCTTCCGGATTGCTGCAATGCACCGTCATGTAACACGTTGATTTAATATTGCGGTAACATTGAAACATTTCATTTTCAACGCGCTGTTGGCACGCGCGTTACGAGGATGATCTATTACTTATGGCGTCTTCATAAGCAAAAGGTGGGATTTCTGTCATACTACTGTCGCTACTAGGTTAAGGGAAAAGCTATCTAGCATCCGCGTTATAATTCGATTTTTAAGTTTGCTTTCACACCGTATCCATTATTGTAAATACACGAGAATATCTCAGGAATATCTTTGTAAGAAATATCTACGGCAATGCTGTTGTTGAAGCAAAAGTACTCGACACTGATTTGTCAAAAGCGCGTCCGGTTTCAGCAATACAATGCCAAACCTCACACCGCCAAAGAAGCTTAGAAAAGTTTGATGAGTTAGAGAGAGTTGAGGTCTTGCAGCACTTAACCTACAGTCCTGATGCTGCGCTGTCCGATTATGGTTCCGATTTCCACTCAGTGAAAAACTTCTTGCGTGGACGCCGATTCGCCGCATTTGATCAAGCTGGAAATGCATATCCGAAATTAATCTCAAAGGAGAAGAATGCTTAGAGCCTAAGCGAGATTGGTACGCCAGGATCTACACCGTCTTTAAACCACCAGGCTGAAGGATTTGTGTCTAGACGAACAGCGCTTCCGATTTCTTGCTGAGTTTCGCGCCGGCAGCTTCAATTTGAAGAACTAACTGCGCTCCAGACGTCCCACGTTAAGCTGATCGAGCGCTGCTATCGAGTATTTGAAGAGGATTCCATTTCGACTTGCTGTTACCCGGAAAGCGATCAACGTCAAACACTACTGTGAGCACGTGGGCCGCTGCAATCAGGACCTGCCACGTCGACGCCGTCGCATTCCTATACCGCCTCAAAACAACTCAAGAGTGCTGCCGCTAAATTGACAAAAAGGAAGCTGACCAATGTGGGTTGGAAGATGCTGGATCATCCGCTCTACATCCTGACTTGTTGTCGTCCGATTGTACCTCTTTCGTGGTGATGGAGCACTTCCTGAGGCAAGCTCCCAGACATCAATTATTTGCTCAGGGCAGTGAAAACCTTCTTTAAATCCAAAAATGACAAATTCCATGAGACCGGTATTGATTTTTTGCATAAGACATGGTAGAAAAGTGTTTAGAATGATGGCGCATACTTCTAATGATGCTATTAAGCAATTTCAATTGCTTCTGGTTGATAGACTTGTTGTTTATTGCTTTAGTACCAACATTTACAAGATCACCTTATATTTTGATGGCACTGTGTTGGTCTACTTGTGCTATTCATTAGGTTGAAATACTAGTCGGCAAGATTGTAATACAAGAACTACACATTATACAAATTTTGACACAATTTTGTCGCGATTAGGAAGTATTGAGCGATAAGAATATTATTGGTGTAACATGATCATCTGAGGTGAACTGTCAAAAAATGCCACGAGGAAAAGTAATCGAATTTGAGTAGAGCACATGCTAGGGCTTTTTTATGGAGTTCTGAGGGACATGGTACTACAGACGCTGGTTGTAGAATATAATTTAATATGCCCTTGTTATTATACTTCATCATCGCCACTGAAGAGTATATTTTAGTGCTAAGTTGCACTATGAAGCTCCATGTTCTTTTTTTTTTTGAACAATTAATTGATGGTAATAAAGATGCGATCTAAATTCTTTGTTTGGAAGATCTACTTCATTTCCGAAATAAGTTTGATATCTTTCAACAAGTAGCTTCTAGACTTGATCGGGCTATCCCTCATTTGTCAGTTATATGGAGAGAGAATTTTGCTCAAATATTCTCGACGTGCAAAACTTGCTTCGCCTTCGGTGGTTTGAAAAAACTCCTCAACTTATAAAAAAATCGCACCTTCCCATGGGAAAGGTGGTGATCAGATCCAGTACATAATTCACATGCACACTACCTAACCACCCTATTTTAGATAGCCTGACATCTTAAACAGCTTCTTTGATCTCCGATAGGTCGCGTATATAAGAGCTCTAAGTCCTTCCTCTCATGAGTGAGATAAAGATACTCATGAGTTCATCCGTTAGACTGCGTGTTCAATAACTTCGAGTGATCCCTCATCTTGCCTGCATAGCTGTCAGGATTATAGCAGATATATAAAAACAACGGTGATCGCTGAGGCAAAAATTCGGGGCATGAACGTAAAAGTTCTTTGCTTTCTTCACTACATCCTCGATGCTCTCAAACACTCCCCATGCTGATCGCTCTCCTGCTCAACTCTGCAGCTACCTCGTCCATCATATTGACTTCTCCACCTATACATACGATGATACGATTACGATTATATACAGGCGAAGATTTCGGAGATATTCACTCTGTTGAGCAGCTTCAGAACCAATTCGCTCTTCGTAAATGGCTTTCGTGTAATTTGTCGAAGTCGGTCAACATTTGTACCTACCTGGCTCATGCTCGGCGTTATAAGAACGATGTTATCAAAGCTAGAACGCTTTATTTGCTGATCATCGATTTCACTCCCACGTGCCATGCCATACTCTTATGAAATTTTGGAAGATGGCAGCCAGATTGCTCTCATGCTGTTCCTCTGTCCATTTTAAAGTCGATCTTTCTCAGAATGGCCCAAATAAAGCGTTTATATGCTGCAGACAACAAACAAATAGGTGACTGTTGCTAATTTTGTCAATATCTCCTCTTCTGACTGATAACGCTGGCTTTGTAAATCTCACCGCTTATGGCTCCTGTACATAAGTAGCTTTTGAATTATGTAGTAGCACTGCACTGAAGGGTTACGGCTCGAGTCGGAAGAATTTTCTTTTCAAAATTCCTACGAAAGTTCGAGATTTGGAGGACAAAGTCTACTGCACATAACACCAGAGAGTATTGCGCATGATAATTTTACCATCAGTATGATATTTTTCATAACATGGCAATGACAATATAGGTGAGAAACTTTTGCAAAAAAAAAATTAGCAGCTGAACTATAGCTACGTGCTAGTTGGAGTTTCTTTGGAGTTTATACTTCACACTGCTATAAAGACTGTGCTTCACTAGCTTTTCAATGCACTGTAGAAAGGTGATCAAGTCAGTGTTAATCAGTATTAGAGAATAAGGTAATTCATTCAAATGCTATTTCAACGTTAGACAAATCTTTAATCTTGCGATGCTAGGTGCACTTTATATCCATTTGTGACGATGTTTGAGAGAATTTATCTGCTCTAAATAGAGAAAAACAGAATGTTTCATAGGTCACCTAAGAACGATTACGGGCTATAAATAAATGTGGTAGAATGTACTCTACATTAAATTTACCCCCGGTGTCCCACCCAAATTCTTGGTTAGGATTCGGATTTAACACAAAATCATACAAAATCCATCATCCTAGTCTGTCCAAAACATTTTAGCCTTTCATCATCAATTCTCGCAGAAGAACTATAGTATGTATTACTGCTGAAGTATGCCTTGAGGATGATAGTATAATATGTGCAGAAAGTCCGGATTTAGATCTCCGTTTAAGGCATAGCATTCAGCTTCTATCGAAAGGCTAAGAATTCTAACATAACCGAGGACTGCAACAACATTATTTGCATACATCAGTCTATGGCTCAATGAGCCGTTGTAGAAAGAAAAAGAGATTTCATGCTGTATGCCAGCTCAAGTAAAACTGAAGCATTTTATCTTTTCAAACTCATTCGAAAGATCATAAAGCTAATATTCTTCAAAATCCCGTGCTGATGCTAACTATTTTCGCAGTGGTGCCCTTAATGTTACTGTAGTTTACCGTTACATGTAACAGACTGAGCAAGTACCGAAAGTGGTCGACTGGTGCAAGTGCTCCTATGAGTATATTACTCAGGATTCCTTATGTTTTAACCGCTCCTTTCGCAGTGTTATGATGCTTTAAACGTACATAAGAAAACTGAGCTCACCGGACCGCACCTCTCAATGGTTGGTAGCTGATAGCTATGATAGTGAGATATTCAAGAATGAGTGATGGGTAAGGTAAGGCCTCGGTAGTGCAGTGGTAGCAGGCGCCCTTGGAATGGGTAAACGAAGGTCCAACTCCTGTTTGAGGTCAAGTTCTTGCTCACCACTCAATTCTCCTGGGTACTCCTAAGAGTCGCTATCAGAAACAGGATAGGGGGATTTTTTTACTACATAACCTGGATAAGAACACTACATTTTACTTTCTGCTTGAAGTATTGTTAAATCAAGTGTACCTCGAATTTTTGCGAAGGGGCGTGTTATTTGAAAAAACTGATAGTTTCTTCAGCATGTCTCGAGCATATCGCTCATGAGGACAAAACGAAGGGTGCACTGTCTGGTGTCGACCAGCTTCTTTGAAATGTACCATGCATTGTCCATGTGTATGTCACCAGATCGTTTAGCATCAGCGTGCCAACTCCGAATATGTGCGTTCGCCTAGGTCAAAATGCTGAGCCAATTTAATTACTTAGCATATACTTCCAAGATTTCTTATGCTTTAGTGCTCTTTGCAGTGCTATGATGTTTCAAATATACCCAAGAGAATTTTTAACTAAGCAGAATTTCAATCTCATTCGAAACACGAACCCTCGTTTCATCCATACCTGGGCGAGTGCTACCTCTACACCACACAGTGTATCGCTTAGTCACCACTCGTTCTTTATTATCTCTCTGTCATAAGTAACAGCGACCAGCCGTTAACAGGTTTAGTCGGGTAAGCAATATCGCTCTCCAGTTGAACCGATAGCCATTTTTTATCATATAATTCCAGAATTTCATACGTTTTATTGCTTTTTCGTAGTATTATGTGTATAAATATACCTGAGAAAATTGAGTGGTGAACGAAAATTCGACCTCAAACGGGAGGAAGTTTCATCCATACTCGGAACGAATTTTTTGTTTATCGCTCAGTTCTCTTATGTATATTTGACACTTTCGCAAATACTGTGCGGCATGGCTGAGCACCAAGGCACAAGAGCTACCTTTTTCTAATTTATGTTCCAGAAAAATGTGATTGAATGATTGTATCATGTGATAAATTTAAGCATTCGATTGCTTGTTTACTGCTTAAAGTTTTGCGATTTATATTTTTCTTCTTGGTCCATTCCCAAATTTCATTAACACTTCTCCCCTTTTTTTGGGTATCTTAACGTCAGCTTGTTCTTTACGTGTAAATGAAATTCTCTTGTTGATTTCTATTGTAAATTGACGCGTGGACTCGTGGGATGGTTCGAACGATTCAGTAACCTACAACTATCCACTCTTGTCTTATCTTATCATATCGCATCTGAGCAAAGAAACGAAGTAGACGCTCATTCAAAATCTGCTGTCAACGCCGACTGCTGCTTATAGCTTCACCGCGTCTAAGAAGTAAAAACAATAAGGTAAGCTCATTTTTGAATGCAATTATTAGCAGGTACTTTTTTATTGGTAAATTAACACAAAGAGTAACAACAGTTTGTACGTTAACAGCGACTATGTGAAGCTAATAATTGATATTTTTCATAGCTTCGTAGGAACACTCAAATTCCTGATTCAGTAATCATTAGAATATTAGTGGGTAGACTTGTTTATAAAAAGCCCAGGAATGCAATTTGCTTTAACTGAACTGAAATCGGAGTTTACTTTGCGCTTCTCCTACAACACAAAAAGGATCAATGTTTCAATGACGCTGTGGCGTAATAGTCCATTATTCATCAATTTGAGAATATAGTTGTAATGCTCGTTACGTCAAGTGTGGAGCCGATCTCACCCCCTCAACTTTCTTCGGAATCAACAACAGCGCCCCATGGAGCTCCACAGCCAGGCCGTCCTCGAAATTGCACGGAAACTTACTTGGCCAGTATTCTACGATAAGACGAAAAACAAACTAAATACTAGAAGTACTGAGATCCGCACAGTGAAGAAACACTATGAAGACGGATAAATGAACTGTCGGAAGTAAAGCAAGAGAATATATAAGTTGCATTTTAGACTGAAGACAATAGCGAAAATTCCGTGTCAGCCGTTACCCCATGCCAACTCTCTCTTTGGTACAAAATATTTCTCGGATCAACTGAGATTGAGGAATTCAAAACACTTGTTTTCGAGTCATCGGTCACTAAGCCTGCAATACCATGTTCATTGATCATTGTCAATTTATAGGAATCTTTCGGATTTCTGCAAAGCAGCGTCATTCAACACATCGATCTAAGGCGCGGTAACATTGATACACTTTCTTCCCTACGCGCTGTTGGGACACGCGTCACGAGGATGATCTATTGCTTGTGGGTCTTCATAAGCAGAAGGTGGGATTTCTATCCTACTACTTTTGCTATTAAGCTGAGGGAAAAGCTCCTTAACACCAGCGAAAAATTCAAGTTTAAGTTTGCTTCACACAGTATCAGTTATTTTAAATGCATGAGGATATCTCAGGACTTCTTTGATAAGTAATATCCACGGCAATGCTGTGGTGAAGAAAATGTACCCAACATTGATTTGTCGAAAGCGCGTTCTGTTTCAGCAAGACAATGCCAAACCTTATACCCCGCAAAGAAGACTTACAAAAGTTTGATGAATTGGAGAGAGTTGAGGTCTTGCAACACTCAACCTACAGTCCTGACGCTGCACTGTCCGATTATAGTCCATTCCACTCACCAAAACATATCTTGCGTGAAGTCAAAACATTTAATCAAGCTGAAGATACATAATAATAAATTTTTGATTCAAAGCCCAAGGAATGGTATTTCAAGCAGATCCGGTAGATTGCAGATCGTTGGAAGAGCGCGAATAATGATGGTCATTAGCTTGAAGAATAACTACTGTTGTTTGTAGCCGAATTTTGTGAAAGCTTTGTATTTTTAGTGGGTTTTAAGCAACTTCTACCTCAGCTTAACAAATTTCGCATGTCCCGCGTAAACAACTCCCTGTTCATATTAGCGACTTCCTCCAGCTTCGTTATTCGACCAATCTCATTACTTCCTTGAGGTAGCTGTAATTTGATACAAATTGCGCCGGTCATTTCATCCTACTTACCACGATAAGTAAACTGGAAACGCACTCAATCTGCTATATATTTCATCTCTCGAGAAATGACAGTTAAATTTCTCTATTTTCTTCATAGCTTTTACACCTTGATTAACGGAGGGAGCTTTTATGTTTTGATCTTCTTATTTTAGAAGCCTTCCAGATGATTTACTGTTTCATCGTAGCTTGGAGGTGTTCCTTGGTGGTGGTCCCAAGGGAGGGGAGTGCAAACCCCCCAAACAGGCCCAAACAAGCTGAAAAGGAGTCCGACGTTTCCAGTAGGAAAGCTCAGCTAAGAGTAAACCGTATCAGAAATGACAGCCGTCTTAATAGCTACTAGTCGCAAGATGGTAAATTCCCCTCTGATCTACAAGGGCCTGTGATTGCGTGGAGTGATGACGACAGTCCTGGCCAGGCTAACTTCGAGCTTCAAAGAGCAAAGAACGGCTCAACCAGCGAGAAAATTTCTGCTTTAGTGCCTCACACACTCAGCGCTCACGTCTACGACGACGGCATGAGGTGAGACGATTGGTGATAGGCGATAAAATCTCAGGTTCAAGGGAGCGTCTTTGGTAAAGGACAAAACAAAAATGCCCATAACACCCCATGGAGATTGCTTCTTGCCTTGTGCGTAGAACGCCTAAACACTATCTTCAGACATTAAGTGGCATGTGACAGTCGTGCAAAAAATGAAAAACAGGATAACCGACATACAACAATTGAATGACAGAATTCTCGTCAATCGTGGAACTGAGTCCCTGTCACGAAATGTAGGAGACGTCGGCTTTGTCGTTCATCGACACGTCTCATATCTAGTCATTTCGCACGACGTTCTATCACCGCGCTTAGCTATCCTTCCCCTCCAATTTTTGCGCCAAGAATTTACTATTATCAACTGTTACTCACCATGGAACGGCTGGTGAAAATATATACAAGATGGGAAATTCAGAATGGGAAAAAGAAACGCGCACGGAGACCGTCTTCTAGTGCTCCTGCCCGCTGCAGGTTTCTTCCATGGTGACGCATTTTCAAGGAGAGAGGAGACCGTCCATGAGCATAGCAGCCCTTTATTGGCACGACTCATGCAGAAATCAGTCATATAGTTACAGAGAGAAAGTGGCTCCTTTGTGATACTTCAGGGGTAGCAGGAATCTGTAGGGGATCTGACCATCGCCTATTACGTGGAAGGATTCGATTCAGCCATAAGCTGAAAAAGAACAACTGTCGTTGCTCAAGAAAAGCAAAAATAGCCTTGTATGACGTGATATTTTCAATAAAATGCTCTTCTCACACGATTGGCAGATAAAGCAACACTCAACAGAAGACTACGAGCTGCCTGTCGACAGACTTGAAAGTTGTGCTAAACTGGCATCAGTTCCTCAAACAATAAGTTCATATCGCATCTTCATCATCACAAAGAGTTGCCCGAAAAAAGAAGGGAACTGGAGCTTGGTCTTTCTACAGCACACCCACTGGTTGATAATCAATGTAAGCTGTAGAAGATCCTTGCACGAAGATTCATATCGGTACAAGCAGAAGAAGTTCTTGGAAGCAGCACCAAAACTATCAGCCTAAAGAACCCCCGTGTCGGATCCTGAAATCCCGACTGGTGACGCCACCAAGACTCTGATCTCTGAAGTTCGAGTTGCGATTGAAGGCATAAAAAGAGGCTTAGCTCCAGGACCCAATAATATCGCTGTTGATTTCCTTAGAGCTGGTGGACACAATCTGCATGTGCTTCTCGCAAAAACATATGCATCATATCGTCACAAGAGAGAAATCTCATATCAATCGAGGACATCACACTGGGGTTCTTCGTAGCTACCTCGCCATGGCTTATTGAATGTACTCTACAAGCTTTCACGATGAACATCCTTCTGCGCATATCGAGTCTTAGGTGAGGTGTAACCAGTTGAGCAAGCAGGATTCCGTAAGGGATTCTGCTGCATGATTGAAACCGCTTCACGGGTCATTGAAGCCTGCCGCGAATCCCTCAAGCCTCTCGTTCCAACCTTTATCGACTATTAGAAAACTTTTGATAGTGCCAAAACGGATGTACTCCCATCATCGCTTGTTGATTAAGGTGTA